GACAACAATTACTAAGAGGGATCTCATTGGGATCAAATTGGTTATACAAAAACGGAATCCCAATGGGTATTGGGAATCTCAAATCCCAAACCATAGAGTCCCACCCAAATGGAATTTTTAATGGGATAAACTAAACCCATACTCAATAACTACCCGCCCGATACTTACCTTTCTCACCCAAATGCCAGCTCTACGTAAAACCTAAAAAGAACTACAACAACGACAGGTTGGTTGGAGTTCCCAGTCGGATTAGCTCGGAATCATGTCCATCAACGAAAATCACATATTTCAGAAGTTTTTATTATATCGGAAATAACATCTCCTTGTTTTTTTGTTTTTTTTTGTTCTCACCAATTTTATTTCAGCTAGAACTAGCATTTGGGTGGGAAGGGTGGGTATTGAGTGAGAATGTTATTGGACGGATAGTTACTGGGTATGGGTTTAGCTAATCTTATTAAAAATTCCATTTGGGTGGAACTCTATGGGTTTGGGATTTGGGATTCTCAATACCCATTGGGATCCCATTTTAGTATAACCAGTTTGATCCCAATGAGATCCCTCCTAGTAATTGTTGTTTTTTAACACATTTTCCAATTATAAATTTCTCAAATCATTCTTCCCTCTTTTTCTTTTTTTTCCTTTTTTTTCTGTTTCCTGAATATCTTTAGAGTTTGAATCAACCACATCATTTGATGACATTAAATTGGATGCATAAAAATTTTATATGACGTAATTATGATACACAAAAATGATTTATTGAATATACAGTATATTATTACTTCCTAGTTGTGATTTTTAATTTCTAAAAAAGATTTTTACATTAATTTTTTCCTGGTTGTTTATTCATTTACAAAAGCCACATGGCAAAATTAAAAATCAGTCCTCTTGATTTTTCTATGACATGACACACACACTTGTAATTGCATTTTACTATTTTTATAATGATGATTAGTTAATGAAAAAAGCCACTCGCCTGTGATTATTAAATAAGATTAATTTAAATGTAATATTTATTCGATAAATATAACAAATTAAAGGACAACTATTTGAACTGGAATTTTATCAACACTGAAAAACGTTCACTTTTGATTTTTTTTTTCTTTTTACATGATTCAACCATATTAATTAATCACGTCACAAGATCAAATGCATTGGTAGATTGGATGCACACATGTAAAAGTCTTTTACTATGTTGTGGTTATTGTTTCGGTGACATTAACAAATAGTACACTTGTAATTGCATAATTCGATGAGTATTCATTTTGAGTTTTATTTAAAATTACGTAGAAATTATGATAATTCAACTATACCTTTTCTGGTGGAAAAAATAATATAAAAGGACTATTGCAGTTTTTACATGTTATATTATTTCAAATTCATAAATTTTGGCTCGTGAAGAAATTGACTAATTTAACATTCTTCTGATTGAAGGTAACAAATTAATGGATAAAATTTGTAGTAATTTAAAAAAAAAAAACAGAATTGTTTTTTCTTGTAAATCAGTCCCATAGGGACCCAAGATGTCCCATTACCCATTCCCGTTAAAGCCCACCCAAATATTCCCCTACCCATTAGGTACCCAACTCTTAATTGGGTAGGAAGTTTCTCACCTGAATCATAGAGTCCCAATGGGTACCCAATAATGGGTTTGGGAATCATTGCCAATTATAATTTCAGCCACACCTCTTCAATGATCTGCTTCTCCAAATTCGACCGTTCTCTATATTCCAAAAATGGCAAAAGATCGCTGAAAACACTTTCCATCTTACCATGACTGGTTTTATTACAACAAATCTAACAATCATTTAGGATGTACCAAAATAATACGCGAATATAAACAATTCAAGTCCTAAAATTCCTCAAAACGTAGCCTGTCCAATTTGTTTCTTTTTTTTTTTGTTTTTTTTTTGGGGGGGAGGGGGGGTTTTGTTAGGATGCATTTACAGAGAACCCGTTGCGGACAGGAGGAATTGCAATAATAAAGCAAATTGGTTATGTTATGTTGTGACTTTTACAGTGTGAACTAAACCAAATAAAAATCAAGATTTCATTTTCACTCACATTACCTGTGTTGATTTGCCAAGATTTGAAACCATGAATTTCTTCCCCAAATTTATTAATTTATCATGCGATTGGTTAATACAGTACGTCACTATTACACAATATTTTTCTTAAGATTGGGTGTTAATAATACAGTACCTCTTGTACCAATAATACATATACAAACTCAAAAGTCGTTGGGTGTTAGATTAGTAAAATTTATTTTCAATAATTAACGAGGCATTGCCATCCATGTTGGTCTTGTTCAGTCTCTTTCTCACTCTCTCTCTCTCTCTCTCACACACACACACAGAAATTGAAAATCCGCAGGAGATTATTGGATAATATACTATAAGCCATTGGCTCAAACCTGATGGCTAGGTAGAAACTCATTCATCCGCTAGTACTGATTTCTTTCCTGGTGCTCAGGCCACAAAGTACATACGGAGTTATTTTTGCTTCACTCTTTCCCTTTAACAACATTCCAGCATGACCATAAATTCTAGTACTAGTTTGGTTGTGATAGATGATTCGCATATTTCTTTCGAGATTTCTTATTGGATGACTTAACAAACACTCCCAAAGATGTCGAGCAGTCATGTAATTGAGAATGAGCTGCGAAGCGATGAACTAGTGGCAGATATTTTCAAGGATTTCTACAACGAGTTTGTTTCGGAATCCAAGGATTTATACTTCGGAGTTCGGAGAGCAGTGTGGTCAGCTAGCTCAACGAATATAGTCGAGATTTAAGATCGTATCGAAGGTTAAGAAGTACTCTCTCAGTCCCGAAATTATTATGCAGTTTGGATTTTCAGTTTTAGTTTAAAATTATAATAAAAGTGAAATCTCAAACTGGACAATAATTTTGGGACGGAGGAAGTATTATACAATATTATGTCGAGAGTATGTTAAGGGTCCATTGAAAACCCTCTTTTTTTTTGCTGCATTAAGAATGCCAAAAGTTTGCTTATTGTTCTCTCCTTTACAGCATTTGTAAAAAGCGCAATTTGGCATATTAGAGAGACAAAAAGGAAAAAAAAAAAAAAAAGGTATAAAAAATCCTCGATGGAACTTGCATTATTTCCATGATCACGACCCTTCCCAATAAAAATCACAATTCCAAGTTTTCTCCATTCGGGTTTCGTTTTCGAATTTGGCATTCTTAAAAGGTAGAACCTCCGCTACTTAATATAAGGCATTTTAATTTATCTTAAATTTAATCTAGTATGTAGTTTTAATTGACAAAAAAACCTTAAAAACATTTCATAACAATCAAGAGAATATAACGAATGTGAAAATATATTTTTAAAGTTTTTTCGCCAGTTAAAAATACGTACTAGATGAAACTTACGACGAAATCAAAATATCTTATATTAAGGACCGGAGGGAGTACTTCACCATGCACAACAACCCTGGATTCCTTCAAGATGGTCAAGATCCCCCAACCTTTTGAAATCACAAATGAAGATTTTTTGCTTGGATGTTAACAATGTGCTAAAGAATCAAATGACTTCTTTTGTGAAATTGAGTCACAGAGGAAAGGCTTGTTCAGAACGAAGTCATTTGATTCAATCTGTTTAATTACCACTCCAATTGGAAAGGTGATTATTTCCAAGTTCAAAAGCTAAATCAGATGGATACTATATTATGTGCCACGCCGGCCATTTATTCCAAAAAGATTCAAAACGGATCCTTTTTTTCCCATTAACTAGTGGCCTCACTTCGGGTATTTAGAATAAATTAAGGGACCATAATCAGAAATCAAAATTTGAAAAGAGAACTTACATTTGAAAATAGTTATGTCAATCTCTTCCATTCGCCACACAGAATACATACAAACTACCAATCTTCATCCTATAAAAGAATTAAGGGCGCCCAAGAATTAATCAGCGAAAAATTTACGGGCATTCTCCAATATTATTCATAATTCCAAAAAAAGAAAGACCGCACTCTGCACATAAGAGATGTGATGCAATCTATTACATAGTACTCCGTCCGTCCATAATTATTGTTCACTTTGAGTTTTCATTTTTAGCTCAAATTGTACTTAAAAATAAAATCTCAAACTGGACAATAATTTTGAGACAGAAAGAGTACACAATAAAGAAGATATGGTCTAACCGTGCAAAATAATGTTATTTTGAGCGCACTTTTCAGTCTCACCTCTCAGTCAAATATCCCAAAAATAATAAAAATACTACTCCCTCCATCCCATAATTATTGTCCAGTTTGGATTTTCATTTTTAGTTTAAATTATACTAAAAGTAAAATCTCAAATTGGACAAAAATTTTGGGACAGAGAGAGTATTTCTTATTCTTAAAAAGGGTGCAATTTGAAAAAATTTAAATCTATAAGTTGGTTTAATTAAACTTTCAAATTGCAAGTTTGATATGAATAATATGATATAGTATCACGTCTATTTATCAATTTAATAACTAGTTTTATAGCATAAATATTATATGTCATATATTTTTAAGATTTTAATTTTTAAAATTGAACAAATAGACATCCAAACCCATTTCCTAGTCATTTGCAATTATTCCTATTAAAATTAAAGTTTTACATTGTATTTCATTTGAGCGAATCATTTTCCATACATTTTTTAATTACAATACATTCTCAATAAAAAATTTTTAATACCTAAATTTATGCTAGTGAAACGATATGCATATTTCTTTGTGACAAAAGGAAGAAACTACAAATAAATTGTGAGTACTATTCAAAGAGAGAAGAAAGACCAACCAAAAATCGACACATCTGATGACAAAAGGACGGAGTAAAAAGTAAAAACCCAACTAAACCACAAGGACGGGTGAACCAAGCATGTGAGGACGCTTTATATAATATAAACCTTCGTATAATAATGAATCGGGAATTGAAACGCTTCCAAAATTAAGACGACAAAACGAAAAAAAGGAAGTTACCATATTATCTCCAACAGAACCCACCGGCCGATATAATGGAAGTGGCTGAACACTCACAAGGCAATCCTTCTCCTATTCCTCCACCGCCGGACGAGGTTGCCGCGGCGGCGGTAGCAATGTCTTCGCCGTCTCTTCCGTGGACAAGCCTCCTCACCGTTAAAATTATCAACACAATAACAGCTCTTTCCAGCCGCCAAAACGGCACCGTCAACCGCAGGCTTCTCGATTTGTTCGCTTACACTTACAAGGCCAAGCCCAACCCCAAACCAATTAACGGCGTCTCCTCCCTTGACGTCACCGTGGACCCCTCCCGCAAACTCTGGTTCCGCCTCTTCCTCCCGGCGGCGGCGGAATCATCCTCCCCTCCGCTTCCCGTCATCGTCTTCTTCCACGGCGGCGGATTCGCTTACTTGAGCGCCGACAACAAGGCGTACGACGCCGTGGCCAGGCGGTTCGCCCGGCAGCTCCGCGCCGTGGTGGTGTCCGTGAATTACCGGTTGTCGCCTGAACATCGTTACCCGGCTCAATACGACGACGGGTTCGACGTCCTCAAGTTTTTGGACGGCGGCGGGAAGGACGTATTGCCGGAGAATGCTGACGTGTCTCGCTGCTTCGTGGCCGGAGATAGCGCCGGAGCTAATGTGGCGCACCACGTGGCAAAGCGGGCATGCAATTCAGATGACTTTAAACAACTCCGGGTACGTCAACTACTATCCGTTTTTGATTTAATGACAAAATGCCTTTTTTAACCCTCCGGTTCTTACAGAAACTCCATTTTTGTAGTATTTTTCTGTTAAATAAATAATAATAATAATTAATAATAATAATTTATTATTAATTAATTATAATAATAATAATAATAATAATTATTATTATTATTATTATTATGTGATTGTGTATTTTGTACTATGTGTTTTAGCTGTCACAATCTTCTTCACAGAATTGGGACCCAAAATCCAGTAAGCCAAAGAAAAATAAGACCGTTGTGCTTTTCTAGAGTTTTCATGAATCGTGTGGCACTGTTTTATCAAAAATAGAATGTGAAATATTTTAGTGTAAATAAAATTTTTACGACTAAAGTTTGGTAAAATTCTGTTGTGAAGAGAGAATAACTACACTGGTAACAAAAATTATGGCAAAACAACTGTTGTCACAATCTTTGGTTGTACCCTTTATATTACTCCCTCCGTCCCATAATTATTGTCCAGTTTTACTAAAATGAAAGATTTTATTTTTGGTCAAACTTAACTATATTTTACCTTAAACAACCGGATATACCCCTACATAAGTAATTGTTTAACCACTAAGATTTTATGGATAATGTTTTTTACTAAGGACAAATGTGTAACTTGATCCATAAAAAGTCAAATTGGACAATAATTTTGGGACAAAATTTTTTGGGTAAAGTGGACAATAATTATGGGACGGAGGGAGTATTTCATTTTGACACAATCTTAGGTTTTACGCCTAAAATAATTTCATTTTGACACGTAATTAATCACTTATTCGTTATGACTCTTGTTACTTTTGCTTATGAGTTGTTATCATATTGTCGCACTCAAATCGGTTACCACTAAAAATTTATCACCATTTCTGTAAGGTTTTGACTTTTGATGATAAATGTGTAGTATCAAAAGTGTCAATAAAATACTCAACTACCAAAACAATTTAGTATTCGAAAACTTCATTGCCAAAAATTATTTGTATTTTTCTGGGGGAACAAATTATGCTAACATAATTACTGTAATACTTATTGATAGGTAACGATTTTTTTTTGCTCAATAAAAATTTACAATTAATTATTACGAAAAGAAAAAGTAAGCTAAGATTTTGCTAAAAATTAGAAGTAGATAATAATAATAATAATAATAATAATAATAATAATAATAGTAATGTTGAGTTTGGTTAAAAAAAAGTTTTGATTTGTTGTGAGGAATTAATGATGGTTGTTGTGAGTTGTTCATTTATGTCTTGAGAAGTAGTTGATCATTAACGTAAACTCGTAAAGACTATACAATGATCATTATTCCATCCTTTTTCAACCAATAAATAAATAAAAGTCCTTTACTCGTTATTGAAAAGCATATTACTTTTCTGGACGAACCAAATACTAGTACATTATCTTAATTATTATTTCCTCCGGTTTAGGAAAAAGATTCATAATACAGTTGATAAATGCATAAATTCTCAATGAAATCGCTAATTATAATGTGGATTATTTTCTTAGAAGAGTAGGAGTATTTATTTTAGTTTTTGCATCACAATATCACTGGTATTTAACAAAAATAAAAAGTGAATTTTTTTTAAAAAAAATGAAATTAGATCATGTTTATTCTTTTCAGGAATAATTTTGGAAATTTTTTAAAAATAAAAATAAAAAATTAGGAGTTAAAATTCAATTTTATTTATCGATTTACTTAAGTTCATAAAAGTTTGGTACAACTGCTACCTGCTGTAGTGCATTTAAGTTGCTTATGCCATTCTTTTCAAAAACAGCATTATCTTTGTAATAATATGTTGGGTCATATGGTCTCAGTTCTGATCTACTTGCAGGATTCTACATTACTTTCGAACCTACTTTAAAAGGTCATCATTATTGAGTTATTTCCACCCACCCTGTTATGGATTTAAAATTTTTATTCACTACTTCATCTCAAACTAATTATTTTTGTTTAGGTTTTCTTTTTTTTAGTACAATATCTGACTAACTTTTTGGTTTTAAATTTCTTAAACAAACTATCATTTCAGGAGAATTGTGTTAAAACCGACAATCTCTTTGAGAAAAATATATTAACAATGAAAATTGAAATTTCTCAATAACTGAATTAACTACCGGTAAACCTCTATGTTTCAGCTTTGTATATACCTTTATGCCTCAAAATATTAGTGAATTTAAAAAATACCCCCTATATCTCACAAAAATAGTCAAAATTATAATTTGTAAATTGTTTTAAAAATAGTACTCCCTCTGGCCCTTTATATAAGGTATTTTGGTTTGTCCTAAATTTTATTTAGTATTTTTTTAATTAAAAATAAAACTTTAGAATATATTTTCATATTCGTTCTATTTTTTAAAAAAATAATAAAAAATTTGAAATTATCATGGGTGTAAAGATCATCTACATCATAAAGAATGAGCTAAACTGCTAAAGTTATGATAAAATTTATCCATATATAATCTCTTACTTAAGCATTTAAAGTGAAATGGAATGATAGGATTGTGTGAGATGATTTAAGAGTTATAATGATGATAGATATTACCAAGAGATTGAAAGTTGAGTCTCACTGGCCAATTTTTTCTCGTTGGGCACCTAAAGTGAAACATACCCATCCAAGACCCATTTCACTGTGCTGTATTACTGACTACTCCGTCTAGTTCAATTATGAAAATTAAAAATTTTTAAAAAATATTATTTAGGAAGTTCATATCGCCTAAAAATATTATAAAATTGATAAATAGACATTCCATTCTATTTAGTATTTTGTACTCCCTCCGTCCCATAATTATTGTCCAGTTTTACTAAAATGAAAGATTTTATTTTTGGTCAAATTTAACTATATTTTACCTTAAACAGCCGGATATACCCCTACATAAGTAATTGTTTAACCACTAAGATTTTATGGATAATGTTTTTTACTAAGGACAAATGTGTAACTTGATCCCTAAAAAGTCAAATTAGACAATAATTTTGGGACAAAATTTTTTGGGCAAAGTGGACAATAATTATAGGACAGAGGGAGTATTATTTTTTTGGCTTGAAAGATTTAGTCAACGAAGTTATAAATTTTAGTTTTTCGTATAAATTATTATTGTTTGGATGGTGGGAGTATTCAATGGGGGATTGGGTCTTCTTTAACACTTTTATATCATACGCGTGATTACATATTCTAATTACTTCATCAAGATATTGTAATTTATGTTACTATACCATAGAATCATATTTTCTTGGCACATGATTTATATTGGGAAATTTATTTTTTATATAAAATTTAATAGATTTTATTGAATTTTTAACTATAAAAATGGAACTAAATAGGCCTCAGCTTGAAAAAACAAACCTTTATTTTAAAACATATGATTATGAATGTGATTATAAATGGTGTAAACATAAATATAATAAAATAAAAAAATTTACACTAAATTATTGAAATGTAACATGGAGGGTAAAAAAGTGATCTTGGAAATCTTGTGTACCATTAAAGAGTGGAGGGTTGAATTATTAACATTGCTAAACAGTTTGAGAGGTGTGATTTTACATCAATGTAATTATATTTGTCAGATGATATAAATCTCGTGAGCTTAATTGCTTAATTTTTAATAAGTTGATTAAGAGGTTGTGTTATTGCTTTGTAAATACATTTCCAATGAATAAATCCCGTGTTCAAGCTGATGAATGTTTTTTATTTCATGATAAAAGGTAGTCGGATTAGTGTCAATACAGCCCTTTTTCGGCGGGAACGAACGGACCGAGGCAGAGATAAAACTAGCCAAGGTTGATCCTTTGATTTCGGTGGCCCGGACAGATTGGCTCTGGAAGGCGTTTCTGCCGTCGGGGGAAGGGGCTGACCGTGACCATGAGGCGATCAATGTTAGTGGTCCCAGGGCGATAGACTTGTCAAACCTGAAATTTCCGGCGACAATGGTGGTGATTGGTGGTTTTGATTCACTCAAGGATTGGCAAATGAGGTATTACCAATGGCTTAAGAAGTGTGGTAAGGAAGTCTACTTGGTGGAGTATCCTAATATGGTTCACGCATTCTATATCTTCCCTCAACTTAAAGAGTCGGGAGATTTGATTGCAAAAGTCATGAACTTTGTTGACAATCAGTGCTCTAAAGAGGTCAAATAATTGGTAGATTATTTACCAAGAAAGCATTGGACATTCTAGAGTCGCACATTAAAGGATTTAATTGGTTGGGGAAAGTAGGGAGATCACAGTTTTCAAACACAATATTCATGGTTAAATAAAATATTTATATACGTACTCTTTCATCCTAAAATCTTATAATTATATTCATTAAAAATTTTAATAATGTGACATTCTTTTTTAAGACTATGTGAGCACTGAGCATGTAGGTTTAATGGTTCTTTTTATTAGAAAAAGTATAATTTTCTTATTCTCTCTCTCGGTGACCAAATACCTAGCCCTAGGCCGCCATCAATTTTTCAGTCGTAATGGCTGGTGACCAATCAAAGGAAGTCCCCACCGGGCCTCCTCGCTCCTTTGCAAGCTTTTTTCAAAAACTACCTGATGATAATTCATCGAAACTATCATTAATCAAGCCGGTCACATTCATCAATGGTACGCCGGTTTTGGAATATGAAGATGATGAATATGACTGGCTGATTGCTCCTCACCAACTAAGTTTGGTTGGGAAATTTGCTTATGGAAGGCCGAAGATGGAGGAAATTCACAGGGAGTTTTAAAAAATCGGATTTCATGGCGGCTACACTCTCGGGTTGATGATTCCTAGACATATTTTAATCCGCTTTGAACGTGAAGATGATTATCAACGCTGCTAGATGATGACTTTTTGGAACATTGCGGGCTTTTCAATGAGGATTCTTAAGTGGAAACCCAGCTTCAGGTTTGAAGAAAACCCCCCAATTGTTCCTATATGGGTTTCATTGATGGATCTCCCAATAGAGTTTCTAAACTCGGAAGTAATCTTTTCAATGACTAAGGCCATTGGGAAGCCATTAAAGGCTGATGCTCCTACCCTAAACATGATGCGTCCCTTGGTGGCAAGGTTTTGCGTTGAAATTGACCCCACGAAAGAGCTCCCAAAATCAGTGAAGGTTGGGAAAAAGGGCCGGAAATAGGAGCAATTTTTTACGTATGAACACGTGCCTTCCTATTGCTCCCACTGTTTTAAGATTGGACACAAGAAAGAGGACTATAAAAAGGGGGATTTGAAGAAGAAAAATAAGCTTGAGGCACCTCCAATGCAGTCGCAGCAGTCGTGAACAACTCAGCCTAAGTTACAGCCGCAGTCGCAGGTTAGGGTTTCCGCATCGAACCCTAAGTCGCAACCCAAGGTTCAGTCGCAAATCACGACTCCAACTGGGATTGCAGCGACTGATAAAGCCTCTACGTCAGGTCTCAAAGATCAGGAAAAGGAGGCAATCGTGGTTGACATTCAAAATTCTCCACTCAAGATCAAAGAAGGTGCTGTTATATCGCCGCAAGTTGAGTCGCAGCCAGTGATTCTTTCGAATACGACTCTGTCGCCGCCACTCATTCCCGCGCCCAGTTCTAATCGATTTGCCCTTCTTGAAACGAAGAGGTATTTTCAGAAACTCCTCCAAGTGCTTTGCAATCGGATGAAATCCAACAGGCTTTGTCGCGGCTAAACAGTGAGGGACCTTTGCAACTTGGGAAGGTTTCAGACGATGGAGAAGTCGATATAAGCTCTGAATTAGAAGAAGTAATAGATGGGGATCACTGTTGCTGGTCTGAAAGTGAAGCGGACAATGTTAATATTCATGCTGAAAATGGTTTGATTGGAAGCTTGACAATTTCCCGAAAGAAAAGTCGTAAGACGAAGGCTGAAATGGCCAAGCTGCGAGAAGGGATGCCACTTCGGCGGTCCCCCAGGTTATTATAAGTGGTTACTTTGTATCCAATTTTTTCCATGTTTAGTTATTTAATATGGAATATCAGAGGCATTAGAAATCAAGCCTCTCAAAACCGTTTAAAAGCTTTAATTGCAATGTATAGAGTTTCTGTTCTCTTCATTATGGAACCTATGCTTGCAGCCTCTGAATTGGAAGGTATAAAATGGGTGTTAGGGTTTGAAAAGGCCTTCTCCTCAAGTACAAGTAAAATATGGGTTTTCTGTAGATATGGTTTTGCCCTAAATCTGTTGTCGAGTAATGAACAAGTCCTCCACTTTGAAGTACATCATGTTGCGGTTCCTAGAACCTTTTATGCATCAGCGGTTTATGCTAAGGCTTCTCGGTTGGAAAGGCAAACTCTATGGTAGCACCTTGTTGACTTTAGACAAAATTTTGTGGATGCACCTTGTAGCTGGAGACTTTAATGTCATTAGAAACCTGGAAGAATATTCAGGTTGTTCACTTCAAGACCCAGTCGCCATGGGTGATTTTAATGAGTGCATTCATGATTGTGATCTCTTGGAAATGCCAGCTATAGGAGAAGAGTTTACATGGGGAGGAACTAGAAGTACTGGTTGGGTTAGCAAGAAACTGGATAGGGTTTTAATATCAGAAGAATGGCACGCTTTATTCCCAACTTATTCAGTGGAGAATCTTAATAGAACTACTTCAGATCACTGTCCCTTACTCCATATGTTTAATATTCAAGTGGTTAGTAAGCCGAAAGTTTTTCGTTTTCAGAAGATGTGGTTGCGACGAGCTGAATTTAAAGCTGTTGTCAAGGAAAACTGGGATCAACCAATGGAGGCTTATGGAATGCTGGGCTTTTCCTTGAAGTTGAAATCTTTGAAATTCAGATTGAAAGAGTGGAATAAGGAAGTTTTTGGAGATATTTTTGAGAACTTGCGCCAATATGAGATTGTTGTCCAGGAACTTGAGTTTATCTATGATTCAACTGGGAATGATCTTGGTCGGATGAATATGCAAGCAGCCAAAGCTGAGTTGCAAAGATTGAAAGAGCACAATGACTTTTGGTCTCAGAAAATGAAGATCAAATGGATGAAGGATGGTGCAAATTCAGCCTTTTTTCATGCCTCTTTAAAGGAGAGACGTTTAAGGCAAGGTCTGTTCAAAATTCAGTCGGAGGACGAGACAACTTTGACGTCTATGGATGACATTGAACATGAAGCAGTTCGGTTCTATAAAAGCCTATTAAATGAAGAGGGAATTGATCCACATTGTGCTTTGAAGCAAGACATATTTTTGGAGCATATTCCACAGGTTCTTGGAGATGAAGCAGGAGCCTCTTTGTTGCGCCCAATCCAACTTGAAGAGATAAAGCAATCCGTTTTCAGCTTAAGTGAGGACAGTGCCCCGGGTGTTGATGGTTTTGGTGGGAGTTTTTACAGAAATTGTTGGGATATAATTTCTGTGGATTTATTGGCTACTTCCCAAGAGTTCATGAATGGTGTACCAAAACCACGATTTATTACAAGTACTTTGATAACTTTAATTCCAAAGAAGACCTTGGTGACTACCTTTGTGGATTATAGGCCGATCAATCTTTGTACTTTTCTCAACAAAATATTCGCCAAAGTTTTGATAGAGCGACTAAAAGTTGTTTTGCCTGCTATCATTTCGGAGGAGCGGTCGACTTTTTTGGAAGGTCACGATATCTTGGATAATGTGCTGCTTACTCAAGATATGTGTCAATTCCTTGGTCGAAAGGTGGAGGGTGGCAACTTCATTTTAAAGCTTGACATGGTGAAAGCTTTTGATAGAGTCAAATGGAGCTTCTTGGAGAAGGTATTATGTAAATTTGGTTTTCCATTACATTTTGTGTCTCTAATCATGAATTATTTGCGCAGGGCTTGGTTCCCAATCATGATTAATAGAGGACCGGTTGTTTTTTTTTTTCAATCATCCAGAGGCATAAAACAAGGTGACCCTTTGTCACCTTACCTCTTCATTATTGTTTCAGAAGCAATGACAAGGAGGCTCAAGGTATTGATTGATAGTGGAAAGATTGCGAAGTATGGAACTCCGGCTGGCTCTTTTTCGTTTTCTCATCTAGCATTTACGGATGATGTAATTGTTTTCTCAAGAGGTTTGAAAAGATCCTTGAATGCTTTAAATGATTTCTTTGTGGACTATGAGATTGCATCGGGTCAGAAAGTAAGTCGGGAGAAGAGTACTTTTATGATGTCAGAGGGAACTTGTGCGTGAAGGGTGGCTATTGTGCAAGGAACTCTAGGTATTCAGAGAGGTCCTCTTCCTTTTGGATATCTCGGCTGCAAAATTTATATAGGTAGGCACAAGGCTTCTACATTTCAATTCCTCCTTGATAGCATTGACAAAAGACTCTTGAGTTGGAAGAATAAATTGCTAAGTCAAGGTGGCAGGTTAATTCTTATTCGCATGTCTTAGCTTCTATTCCAATTCATGTGTTCTCGGCGATTCCTCCTCCAAAATCAGTACTAAGAGAGATTGAGAGAAGATGCCAAAAATTCTTTTGGAGTGGTACGAGTGATGAAAGCAAGCGACACTGGAGATTTTGGGAGAGGCTCTCTTTCCCAGTCTCTGAAAATGGATTGGGCATTAGAAGCTTTCAAAGCATAATTGATACTCCAACAATAAAGCTTTGGTGAAAGTTAAAGCAAAAGAAGGGTATATGGAGTAAGTTTCTACATTCTTTGTCGTAGGCAGCAAAGGATAAAACCTCATGGAAAATTGTGTATAGCATGGAAGGATGGGCTATTAGACATACTAAAGTGATCATAAGGCGGGGGGATAAATCTTTTTGGCATGAAAATTGGTCTCCATTTGGGGTTTTATGGGATATAGAGGGCGCGCAACCACCACTTCTGGATTTAAAATTCGGGAATTTTTTTGATGAAAAACACTTCTATCTTCCCGTTTTGCAAGGTGTCTTATCTGAGGAGTTCTTGTGATACTTAGAGGCGCATGATCAAGATTTTGTTGATGGGGATGACATCCTTATTTGGCAGCATACTACTTCTGGTTTATTTACGGTGAAGATGGCTTATGAAGCTATTAGACCAAGGCAGGAGGTTGAGAATTGGGCACACAACGTATGGAATTCGATAACCCCCTTAAGGGTCTCGATTTTCATGTGGAAATTGCATAATCGACTGCTTCCTTTTTCTGAAATTTTAGGAAGAATGGGTATTCAAGTAAATCCCTCTACTTGCTTGGCTTGTCGAAGTGGAG